GGAGGGGGGGGGGGGGGGGGGGGGGGAGCCAGCTCAAAAGCCACCACCGGTTCCTAGGGAGTTGAAAGCCTCTCTCCCACTATAGGTGTATATAAACATTGAAACTGCTGAAATTTTCAGTGATTACATAGTCACCCAATTACCCTCATTGTAACATCCCTACTTCAAAGGGTTTGGGGATGAATGGAGAACTAGTAGGCAATATGCCAGCACAGGTACCAGGGAAGTGAAATCTAGTTGAAAGAGAGGAAATGATTTTTATTTAGACTGTTGGTTTTTATAACTGCTATGTAACCACAAAACTTGAGAGAAATGCTCTTTTTGTTAAGGATTCAACACCACTTCCCCATTATCATTTAGGTGACAAATCTCCATACTTACGGTGTAGTTGGAGCCCTGTTAGTACCAGAATGTTAGAGAGATAAGGTGTACAAAGTCCAACTTTTGTTGGTGAAGAGATAAGCTTTTGAGTCACACAGACCTGAAGAAGAGCTCTGTGTGACTTGGAAGCTTGGGTCTCTAACAGAATTCTGTTCAATAAAAGATACTATTTTACCCATCTTGTCTCACACAACTCTCTATACACATTTCTGAGTCATCCAAGAAAAGCACCAACAAAAAAAACTAAGGAAAGATAACACTTGGCATTCCTATTGTTTCTAGCAATAACAAAACAAGACAAATATTTTGAAGGTGTGAAAATAGAGGGAAAAACATTCAAGACTTTGTACAAGACATCCTAAAGAAGCAGAAAAGAGCACAAACCCAACTTTCAGATCACTTGAATCAAAGAAAAAATAGAGAGGAATAGAAAGCAAAGGAAACATTTTTAATATTTATCAAATTACAGGGAAACTGATAAGGTTTGACCAACAGTAATTTGGAACTGCCATCTTCCTAATCCCATATTAGGGTAAGAATACAGTTTGAAAATAAAACAGACTAGCCATTTCTAATGTAAGGATCACCTTGGTACCTAATAAAGAGGTATCTAATAAAAACCTAAAGATCAAAAGAGATTATTAGGTTTTCAGAAAGTTCAGGTATTAACTGAATTTTCAAAATGATACACTATAAATGCTGTTGAGATTATACACCATAAATGTTTGTATCAAATGCATAACCAAACTCATGAAAGTCTTATTTGGAATAAAATTTAAAAGGTGATAATATTTTATGAGGTGCAAATCAAAAGGATTTGAATATGCGTATTTTCAATAGTGACATTTTTATTTTGGAACAAGTGAAAAAATTGAAGATACGCATATTCAAAAGTGACATTTTTATTTTGGAACAAGTGAAAAAGAAATTTTCATTTCTACATGGAGTTTTGAGATCTTTATTATGGGGCAGATTTTGATACCTTTATACTCTTGACTAGCAATTTACTTCCCAAGTGCCTCATTAATCTGATCAATCATGGAGGAGGATACTACTCAACATGAAGACACGTGTCAGAATTAGCTGGACCCTACCTGTAGGACTACCAAAGGGGAGTAGCAAAAGTGACAGTGACATTAAAATGCTGCCACTGCAGCATTTTAACATCAGCATGTGTGGGACATTACCAATGGCCACTTTCTGCCAGTATACAGCATCAGACCACTTTCACCTCTGCCTCTAACATATCCGCCCTCAGTCATCTCTTCTCTAATCTGAATAGACCCAATCTTTTTAATGTATCCTTGTATGGGACCTAAACATTTTCACTGCCCTTCTCTGCACCTTCTCCAATTCTATTTACTTTTTAACAATGGAACAACCAGAATTGCACACAGTATTCAAGGTATGGGTGCATGCTGTACACATATAGGCTACGTCTACACTGGCCACAATTTCCGGAAAAGCCATGCAAATCAGGTAAGTCAGGATAGGGAAATCTGCGGGGGATTTAAATAAACATGTCCACCGCTTTTTTCCGGCTTGGGGAAAAGCCGGAAAAAAAAGTCTAGACTGGCGCGATCCTCCGGAATAAAGCCCTTTTCCGGAGGATCTCTTATTCCTATTTTGAACATTCCTACTTTGAAGTAGGAATAAGAGATCCTCCGGAAAAGGGCTTTATTCCGGAGGATCGCGCCAGTCTAGATGCTTTTTTTCCGGCTTTTCCCCAAGCCGGAAAAAAAGCGGCGGACATGTTTATTTAAATCCGCGGGGGATATTTAAATCCCCCGCGGATTTCCCTATCCTGACGTACCTGATTTGCATGGCTTTTCCGGAAATTGTGGCCAGTGTAGACGTAGCCATAATGACATTGTGACATGTTTTTCCTTGTTATCTATCTTTTTCATAATGGTTCATAACATTTGGTTAGTTTTTCTGACTACCTGTGCACATTGAGAAGATATTTTCAGAGAACTCTCCACAATGACCCTAAGGTCTCTTTCTTGCATAGTAACAGACAAGTTAGAGTCCATAATTTTGTTTGTATAGCTAGGATTATATTTTCTAATGTGTGTTACTCTGCATTTAGCAACAATGAATTACCTGTCATTTGTCATCTAGTCACACGGTTTAGTGAGATTCCTTAGTAATTCTAGCACTCAGCTTTGAACTTAAACTACCTTGAACAATTTTGTATCACTGCACATTTTAGCACTTGTTCACAGCTTTTTCAGATTCCTTTAATCAATTTACTAAATAATTTCAAGAAAGCATTTTTCAGAGTGAGCATAATTAATAAATCATGTAGAAGCAGAATGCATTTTCAAATAATATTTATAATTTTTACCACTTAATAAATATTAACTATTGTTTAGGTTTCATAAAATTGATAGAAACAAATACATTTTATAATTCAGTTAGAAGTACAGCATAAACAAATAGCTACAATTTTCAGTATAAATAAAGGTTTACATAATACATTCATGGCTTGCTTCTCCTTTCCAATATCTGTAGGTCCCAACATGATGTACTCTGTAAAAATCCAATACCTTTACTGCAATGTTGCAACAAACCTGAAGTTGCACAGCTATGTATTTGCACACAAGATACCAGCTTCTCAGTATGAATGTCCTGAATAAACAAGTCTCAAGCACTCTGCTTAATAGGGCTCCCATACTGACCTTTGTAGTACAGCTAAAGTACCAGCATTGACACGATGAATGCCATCAAGAATAACAAGCTTTCCATCCAACGCAGCAGTAACAAGTGGGGATGGTCTCCAAGCAGTGTCTCCATTAGGAAGAGTATACCTTTGCTGCACCAAATCTCGAGCTGTCATATCCTGCGAGCAACAATCATAAAAAAGAATGCATTCAAACTATATTTTACTGATCCACCAGAGCTTGATTTCACTTGAAAGTCCTATATTTTGTTATTTTAAGGGGCAAATACTCAAACTGAGTTAGGCAAGAACTCTTGGACTACTTTCCCAAAGAACTCTAGGGCTACGTCTAGACTACATCCCTTTTTCGTAAAAGGGATGTAAATTAGACGTATTGCAATTGCTAATGAAGTGGGGATTTAAATGTCCCCCGCTTCATTATCATAAAAATGGCTGCCACTTTTTTTCCCTCACGGAGCTTTGCCGGAAAAAAGCGCCAGTCTAGACGCTGATCTTGTGGAAAATAAAGCCTTTTCTGAAAGTTCCCTTATCCCTTATTTCATAGAGGGAAATAACGGATAAGGGATCTTTTGGAAAAGGCTTTATTTTCCTCAAGATCAGCGTCTAGACTGGCGCTTTTTTCCGGCAAAGCTCCATGCGGGAAAAAAAGCGGCAGCCATTTTTATGATAATGAAGCGGGGGACATTTAAATCCCCACTTCATTAGCAATTGCGATACGTCTAATTTACATCCCTTTTATGAAAAAGGGATGTAGTCTAGACGTAGCCACAAAGTGTTTTTCAATAAAATTTTAGTTTCTACACACATTAACATTGCCTTTTCGATATTCCAACAAATGGGACACTTTTAAAAGCATTTTAAATTAATGTGTTTCCTCCCTCTGGGGCATCTGGCATTGGCCACTTTTGGATTATTGGGCTAGATGGACCTTTGGTCTGACCCAGTATGGCCGTTCTTATATTCTTATGTTTCTGAAAACTATAAAGCTTTGCAGCAATTGTCACCTGGCATCAACTTAATTCATTCAACAGTAAGACTCTGCAGTAATTATAATTAAATTAAGGACCGATTTCACAGATGTGAAACAGGCAAAAAAATCTATTAGTTTCTAAAGCCCAGCAAAATAATATACAACAGATATTTAAGAGGGAAATGAGAGGATAAAGCAATACAGGGATCAGCAGTTCCCATCTGGAATAGAGTTCCAAATGGACTCCCCGCACCCTACTCCAGAAAGTATTTTTATAGCCAAAGCAACAGCAAATCAGAGGATATCAACCTTTTTGTTCCCTCACAGGAGGTGTTCCCCACTGCTACCGAGGAAATCACAGTGGCCATTACTTGGCCTGGAAGATGAATTCCTGCTTAGACTGAAAGTGACCTAGCCAGGTAATAGTCCATAACTTTGGTTATTTGCTATTTAAAGCTATTTATTGCTGCAGTTGCATCTTTTGCATATATATTCTTCTTACAGTGATAAATCCTTTGAAAATTAAACAATGAAAATAGAATAAATTACAACCTCATACAGCCTGGATCACTTCCTCTTTCTGCATTTCCTTTACAGTCTTAAAATAGCAAGACAAAGTCTTGTTCCTTTGAATGCATCCACAGATATGCAACTTTGAGTTTTCACCTTCAGTACCATAAAAATAACACACCTTTTTACTATTGTACTAATCCACCATTTTGCTTTACTACTGAAATACTCAATCTACACACAGAATAGGAACAGATCTTTATCAAAATAAAGGCAATGTACAAAAACTACTTCTGAGTCCTTGAACTGCCACTTATTTCAGAAATTCTCTACACATTTTGTAGTTTGCATGCTGCACAGGAGATTGTACTATAAGTCAAAATTAGATTACATTTCACATTATACCTCAGTCCTCTTTGGGAATGAAATTGACCATGCACAGTATGAATTCATTATGCTAAGACTAATGTTCAAAGCACACCAATAACCCAAATGGAAAACCTAAATTTGCTGAAGAGAGAAATGAGAAGAACAGAATGCAATTAAGTATAATTCAGAAATAAAATCAAACTTCCCATCATATTCTAAATGACTTGAATTGGATTTGATCTGGTTTAGATAGAAATGGAAAACTATCTTGTTACCAATTTTCTCAATTATTCAATTTCTATGCTGGAGTTAAAGTTATTAGTTTTTTGTCCAAAGATTTCTTATTTGTATGTATTTAACCTTTACTAATTATTTATATATTATACAAGTTATATATTTCATACTGTCATATTCTGAAACTGAAAAATAACTTTTATAGGGTATTTTTATGTTTTGACCCAAGTTGTTATAAAGGCTGGCTTGGGTTATAAGACAGAAAGATTATTCCTTTTCACTTTGGACTTGAACTTCTTGTATTTCATTATGTTTTAAGGAGATTAACTCTCTGATTTCTTTTGGTTTTATTTTACACCAAATATTTCAATCCGTTCCTTATACTTTCTTCTCTACTTTTCTCTCTCTATATATATATAAAAAAGTTTTTCCTATGAGACGACAGAGTGACGTTATCACATCACTCTGCGCCCCGCCTGCCTCCTCCCTCTCTACCCCCAACCCCTTCTCCCAGCTTGAGCCCAACCTCACTGCTTCTCCTCACCACTTGGAATTGCTATTTTAAACCAAGCCCCTACTCCCCTTCCTTCACCCCCACACCACAGGGCTTCCAACACTAAGAAACATGGCACAATAAGCCGGCAGACCCCACATCGCAGCTGTGACAGCCTGGGGATCGTGGGGGGGAGGATACGATGCTCGGGACAGAAGTCTGGGGATAGGCACTAGGAGTAGGGACGTTAAGGATAAGTCGACTAGTCGACTATCTAATGAGCACTTGCTTATTGAATAAAGGCAGCGTTTGAAAGGGGCTGCTGCCGCACAGCTGATCTGAGGCTCAGCTGTGCAGTGGCGCTGACCCTTTAAAACACCATAAGGTCACGGAGCCTGAGGTCACCTGGGAACTCCCCAACTAACCCTTGGTTCTGAGCAGAATTTCCCCAGAATCCCGGGTCCCAGCTGACCCCGGGTTCTGGGGAAATGCCGCACAGAACCTGGGTCAGCTGGGGAGTCCTCCACTGACCCCAGGCTCCATGGCTTTGAAATGCACAAGAGCCCCCGCTGGGGATTCTTGTACCTTTCAAAGCTGGCAAACCACTCGCTGGGGCTCTTGTACATTTCAAAGGAAGAATGCGGATGGGCCTATCGACTAGTCATGTAGTCCATGGAAATTCCATCGACTACTCGACTAGTTAATTAACCGCATTTTAACATCCCTAACTAGGAGCAAGGTTCCCAGATGGGGTTATGTGCCAACAGTGGGCTCTTGGGGGCTCCCCTGCCACCAGGCTCTTGGGGAATCGGAGCACGGTGCCCAACTGCCAGGAGTCTGGCTGCCCCCACGGAGACTCACCCCACGGAGACTTAACCGTGGCTGTCAGAGCACCCCTGAGCTACCTGGGGGAGTCGCCTCACCAGTCTGTCTGCTCCTTCTCTTCCGCTCCCAGCAGGTGGATGGGCGGCCCTGGGCTCTGTGGGCAGGGCTGGAGCATTGAGCAGCTCAGGCGGGACCATACAAGGGAGAGTTTAGGACAGCAGCCACCCACGCTGCTGCTTTCCCCACCTCACCAGGCTGCAGCGCCCAGAGTGCCACGTGCACACAGCACTACCGATGTGTCTCACTGCGCCCCATGCAGGGCGGGCAGATACCCGTGCTTCCCTGGCCACTGGAGTTAAAGTTGGGCCTGGCGCGCGCTGCAGTCAAGCGAGGGAGATAGGGGAAGAGAAAGGGCCTGGGCTAGCAGGGGGTAGGGGGAGAAGGGACCCTGGCTCACGGGGGAGGAGTAGAGGGAGGGAGAAGGGACCCTGGATTGCAGGGGGAGGCAGAAGGGGTCTGGCATGGCCGGGGAGAGAGAAGGGGTCTGGGCTGGCATGGCAGGAAGAGGAGGAAGAAGCAGGGGCTGGGCTGGCATGGCAGGGGAGGGAGTCGTGGGGGGGAGGATACGATGCTCGGGACAGAAGTCTGGGGATAGGCACTAGGAGTAGGGACGTTAAGGATAAGTCGACTAGTCGACTATCTAATGAGCACTTGCTTATTGAATAAAGGCAGCGTTTGAAAGGGGCTGCTGCCGCACAGCTGATCTGAGGCTCAGCTGTGCAGTGGCGCTGACCCTTTAAAACACCATAAGGTCACGGAGCCTGAGGTCACCTGGGAACTCCCCAACTAACCCTTGGTTCTGAGCAGAATTTCCCCAGAATCCCGGGTCCCAGCTGACCCCGGGTTCTGGGGAAATGCCGCACAGAACCTGGGTCAGCTGGGGAGTCCTCCACTGACCCCAGGCTCCATGGCTTTGAAATGCACAAGAGCCCCCGCTGGGGATTCTTGTACCTTTCAAAGCTGGCAAACCACTCGCTGGGGCTCTTGTACATTTCAAAGGAAGAATGCGGATGGGCCTATCGACTAGTCATGTAGTCCATGGAAATTCCATCGACTACTCGACTAGTTAATTAACCGCATTTTAACATCCCTAACTAGGAGCAAGGTTCCCAGATGGGGTTATGTGCCAACAGTGGGCTCTTGGGGGCTCCCCTGCCACCAGGCTCTTGGGGAATCGGAGCACGGTGCCCAACTGCCAGGAGTCTGGCTGCCCCCACGGAGACTCACCCCACGGAGACTTAACCGTGGCTGTCAGAGCACCCCTGAGCTACCTGGGGGAGTCGCCTCACCAGTCTGTCTGCTCCTTCTCTTCCGCTCCCAGCAGGTGGATGGGCGGCCCTGGGCTCTGTGGGCAGGGCTGGAGCATTGAGCAGCTCAGGCGGGACCATACAAGGGAGAGTTTAGGACAGCAGCCACCCACGCTGCTGCTTTCCCCACCTCACCAGGCTGCAGCGCCCAGAGTGCCACGTGCACACAGCACTACCGATGTGTCTCACTGCGCCCCATGCAGGGCGGGCAGATACCCGTGCTTCCCTGGCCACTGGAGTTAAAGTTGGGCCTGGCGCGCGCTGCAGTCAAGCGAGGGAGATAGGGGAAGAGAAAGGGCCTGGGCTAGCAGGGGGTAGGGGGAGAAGGGACCCTGGCTCACGGGGGAGGAGTAGAGGGAGGGAGAAGGGACCCTGGATTGCAGGGGGAGGCAGAAGGGGTCTGGCATGGCCGGGGAGAGAGAAGGGGTCTGGGCTGGCATGGCAGGAAGAGGAGGAAGAAGCAGGGGCTGGGCTGGCATGGCAGGGGAGGGAGAAGGGACCTGGGGTGGGAGGAAGGAGAAGGGACCCAGGCTGGTGTGGCGAAAGCCCGGCCCTTCCTGGTGGCCGGTGGGAAAAACCAGGGTTGCCTACCCCCCAACTAGAGGGGGCTGGGTGAGTGCAGTGAGCTGGGGGCACAGCCCCCTAGTTCTGTCTAAAAGGGATTTGACAACTATTCTTATATTGTCAATGTTACATAGAAGGAACTTTTATTAAGCATTCTGAAAATCTTTTGTATCAAAAGAAGAGGGTCCAAATAGTTACTCTAAAGTTGTGCATCCCATATTTTTTTCATAAAGTAGATATTTTTGATGGAAAGAGTCTCATGGAGGCCTTTCTCTTCCCTACTGTTCTCATGTACCACCTTTTCTCGCCTTTCTGATTGCATAAAACACCAGTGGCAACTACAGCTATTGCATACATAGGAAAGTAATTTTAGGAAAGTTTTTAATTTACTTTTCATTCTCTTTGAATGCACTTGTCATGATCATGAGAGATGGCCAGCAGCCTGGGGACTAAGGGGTTAACTATATCTAACCCAGGTAGAGTTGGCCAATAGGAATGTACGTACAAATTTCAAATTGGGACAAAGAAATTTTTGGTTTTTCCCTCTCCTTTGTCCTGAGCAGTTTCTCTCCAGCTAATGAGGGAGACCCACAGAATGTCTCCTTCCAAGAATAGACTCTTCACTATTCTGTAAGTAGGTTAAAGTTTAGATAAATCCGTTAGGTTTTATTGTTTTATGGTTTGGAAAATGGGATCTGATGTCTGTGCATTTAAAATGGGGTTTTCTCTCTTTTGCAACTAAGTTTGGGCCCATGGTGGAATTCCCCATGAGTATATTACTTTGTGACTTTACCATCTAGTCATTATGCTTGCAACAGGAATATCGTAGTGTTAATAAAAGTTCTCTCTCTTTTCTTTTATTAACCTGGTATTGGTTAATTTTGGTGTCTTGGTTTTTACTTTTGGGGCTGAGATTTCCCAAGTAGTCTCTCCCTGGTTTCCTTATTATTACTTGGGGGGTGGCAGCGGATTTCTGCCCCCAAAATCTAGGTTTTTAAGATTTTTTGGGGGAAGTTTTTTACCAAAGCCTGGAAAGATACAGTTTTGGGGTACTTTT